AACGTTAGTCACGTAGGGTTTTACGTTTTACGTTTGTTCCAACCAACCAACATTAGTAGTGCACTAGTTTAGTTTATCATACACATATGCACTATTGTTATTGTTCACCACCAGGCCCACGGGCGGGGGGGGGGGACAAAGGGGCAACTGCCCAGGGGCCCGGGCGAATGAAACCTGGTTATGCCATAAAGCCCGAAAAGCATCTTTAGGTTATATCTTCATTTAATGATAAAAACCATAGTTTTTGGCTTTTCTTTGCATATAGACGCTTGATACATCTGAAAGAACGACTGAAATAATAATTTGAGTAATAATTAATATGTATTTGTTACTTTATAGATTTAATAGATATTTGTTGTTACTTTATTAACGTTTTCACGCTTATACTGTGAGGTAAAAACAGCTGCTGCTATGATTTTGTCTGGTTTATGAGCTCGTTGCTATCCTAATTTAGGATATTCTTTTTAGTAAATTCTTGAAAATGTTAAAAAAGAGAGAGAGAAAGGGGGCCCGGCGAAGATGTTTGCCGCGGGGCCCGTGTTGGCTCTCGACGTTCCTGTTCACCACACATGTATGCGCATTGTTTACCACACATATATGTACATTGTTTACTTGTTCACCACACATATATATACATACTGTTTACTTGTTTATCACACATATATACATCTTGTTTACTTGTTTATCACACATATATACATATTGTTTACTTGTTTATCACACACATATATACATCTTGTTTACTTGTTTATCACACATATATACATATTGTTTACTTGTTTATCACACACATATATACATATTGTTTACTTGTTTATCACACATATATACATATTGTTTACTTGTTCACCACACATATATACATATTGTTTACTTGTTTATCACACATGTATACATATTGTTTACTTGTTTATCACACATGTAGTAGAATAAATTCCCATTTTAATTTTTAGACAATAATCAAGAGAAATTTGAAACTTAAAAAAAAATATTTTAACAAGTCGCCTTAAGGTATATGTATAACGAAGAAAAATAAATTTGACTTTATTGTACTGGTTTGTGATAATTTAAATACAAAACACCTTATATATAAACATTCTTACAGAGTTTTACGAACTATTTTATACACACGTCACATGAGAAATTGTATTATACCGTTCAATTGATACTAACAGTGGGTAAAAAGCAAGTTATGACATCAAACTTAATTAATTAAAACTTTGAAAAACTAATTAGAACAATTAAATATAAGGAAGCATTAAGTAGTCAAAGTGAATAAGTAGATGGATAGATTGAAAAATAAATTAAATTTAAATCACCAAAAGGTTATAACAAAATTCGTTACTTCCAGTTTTCAACCTATTACCCCTCTTTTCTAAATGTTCCCGTCCTTAGTAATTCAGATGTTTCCGACTCTCCTGTCATCATATTTTATTGCTTTACGTAAATATGGGTGGTCTCGGACGATGTAAATATATGCAGATACTTTTTTTTTGCTTTGCCGAAGAATCCCACAGGGGCAGGGCTGATCCTGTGAGGACCTGCCCAGTCGAGACAGTAAATGACCCGTTCTCGGCCCGCCTGGGAAGGTCATAGGCTGCGAGAACAACACGCGGTCGTTCGCTGCATTGTACTAGATACGCCTTTGGTCGTAAAATTTCGGAGAAATTGACGGCGGCTATAATAAAACCAGCGGTAATGGCCACTAAACTCTTTGTCCATGCAAGCACAAAGTTTGCAACAACCGTAGCCTTATTTCGCTCATGGAGCATTTTATGGCGCAAACCAGGGCATATGATTGGCACAAGCGAGTCACGTGAGGCTTTAAAGTGGAGAAATTATTACCTCTGCCAGGAAAAATTACGACTATATATGAAGACAAAGCCAGCGAATATGGCAATTTGTATCTCGTTCAATCGAACAGTTGCGGCTCGGTTATACTATGGTGCACGACGAGGTTAGTATTAGTCGCGTCTCTTGCTTTCATAATGCTTTCGCGTGTTTTGTTGTTAGCGAGGAAAGGATTATTGTGAAAAGGGTTTTGATCTTTAACTGCACATGGTGTAACATACAAGTGTACAAATGCTAGAGTTATCTCCCAACTACCACAGAATACCGGACCTCTTCCAATCTGTACCAAATCAAGATGCTAAGGTAAGCGTGCTAAATTGGGCCTTATTATTAAAAAAAAAAAAAGTTTTATGTCTATGCCGAACCCTTATTTCATACCACTTTAACTTCAAGGCTGACTGACGCCACAAAAGCAGTGAACGAACTGAGCATGGGCGGTTTTAGAGTAGCAACGTCAATCGAGAGTCAGTAGTGTGTTATCAATGTTTTCACTAGGGTTAGAATTAGACCAACCAGATTCTTTGCTGTTGAGACACCAGTTACACTACCGAAAACAAGGCAGGCGATTACGTCGTCTGTTCTTGTAAAGGTTATCTGTATTGGTTGACATTTAGATAGCGAAGGTCATGAAGCCAATAATAATATTCATCTCTCAACCGCCAGATCTGAATGTATGAAAATTTATAAAAAAAACTGGTTTTGTTTGATCCAAAATCATCGGTTAAGCTATTGATTTTAAATCAAGTTGAAAAAATCAGTTTCGGCTGTTCAGTAACTGGAACGTTTGAAAAACGAGCATTACCCATCACAATCAACCTAATGCAAAATTTTATTTTTTAAAAGGTTAAAGCGGTTTGTGTCAAGCAAGTTTAAAAATCTTGTTATTGATAATCGTTAGTAATATGAAATTTATAGTTAATGACGTAGCTTATCTAAATGTTGTTTTTTCAAACGTCTATCATTACACCAAAATCGCTCATACCAAGTTAATATTACCGACTACAGCACAACGTTTAATGATAGTTTGTTATATAAGATAAACTTACACAATGGATAATCTGAGGGTCGCGCGTTCGAATCCCCGTCCCATCAAACATGCTCGCCCTTTTAGCCGTGGGGGCGTTATAATGTGACGGTCAATCCCACTATTCGTTGGTAAAAAGAGTAGCCCAAGAGTTGGCGGTGGGTGGTAATGACTAGCTGCCTTCCCTCTAGTCTTAAAGCTAGCCGTCCCTAATTTAGCAGACAGATAGCCCTCGTGTAGCTTTGCGCGAAATTCAAAACAAACAAACAAATCTAAATGAATTAACAATTCCTGGCTATTTTAATCTTTTCTTAGAGTTTATTATATTAAACTCTTCTGCATTTAGATAAACCTTTCCCTATTGCAATTATAAGTTTAATGTCTATTCCAATACTGCTTTGTTCTTAGAAAAAATACTTAACAGGATTCAATGTAGATAGATATTGGTTTAAATGCATTAGTATACGACCAAAGACACTGCTAACAGTGAGAATAGATACCTATTTGATAAATTAATATTCACCCTATGTTTCATATTCTTTGTTTTAGATTACAAATCTGGTATCATTTTCATAAACCACTCTTTAATTTCAACTCTACATACTATACTTCTGAACTTTATTAGTATTTAAACCATATTAATTTATTTTGGTGTCTTTATTACATGTGGCAGGTAGTCTGGGTTCGCACAGGCCTTTGAAACCCTGAAAAGTTATGCAAAATGACCTTTTAAAAATTTCTGTGCTGGAAATTCTGAAAGAATGGCTGTTTTTATGTCATGGTCCTGGAAGAATCCTGAAGTTTCAGTTTCATCAATAAATCCCTCATGAAATAATCAGCTTAACCTTCTAGATACAATTAGGTCAAAGTGTACATGTCATGACCTTTTTAAAGAGTTACATTCAGAAGTTAAGTAAACTATTATTATTAATGTATGTCAATAAACTTGGCATCAAATTGCAGTTTACTATCAAGTACTTATATTTTTGATGTTTTGGTTTTTAATTTCAAAAGGAAATATTTAAATACATTCTCAGTCTTCATCATGACACTTCTTCACTCTAAATTGCCCCTTTTGAATATTCTTTCCACCCCTGTTTAAGCTTCTGAGTTTAAATATAGATTACATATTTATGGTGTAGGTATTGTTAAGACATAAACTAAATTTATAGCTTCCAGTCTTCTTGCATTACTAAGATATAAACTAGAAAGTCAAACCCACGTGCCATGCCTTCCTATCATATCCAGTCTTTCAAAAGCTGTCAGTAATTAGCTCTAACATTTCCTATGTGACTATTTGTAAACAACAGAAAGAGGTTTTTAATTTACTGAATTCTATATACGGTTATCGTGCTGTGTTGATAGTGTTTGAATTATTTGGTGTACAAATCCATTGTTGCTATCCCTAAGAACAGATCAACAAAAACAGCTAAGGGAATTACTTTACCAGATTTATAGCTTAATTAGAAAGCCAATTAAATTTTAATCATTATAAGACATTGTAGTCTTTGCAGTTGATAATATTGTGAGTTCGTAGTTGAATATTTGAAATAAAAATTAAGTGAAGTACTAACAACAACTCCACCAAAATTAGGGTTAACTTTTATTGAGATTTTGACAGCAAAAAAGTACAAGACTTGTATGTAAGTAATGAATCTCTTGTTTTTTATGTATATTTCTATTTATCGTAATGAAATTAACTAATATATAGAAATTAGAAATTTATTAGGTTAGGTAAGAAAACTGAAATGAAAAATTATCTATGAAGAATGTACATGAACTGCTTCTGAGTGATTTATTGCTTATCATGGCGGTTTAGCAGTTATACATGGTTCAAAGAGTGCTAAAATAATAACATTGAAAGAAAGAAGTTCTGGAAAGGTTAGAGCACTGAAGATTTTAGGATAAATAACTGTAATTGTTTGTTATAATTTGAAGTCATTCTAGAAAGAGAAAAAAGGGTAATTTAGGTTTGTATTTTACTGGTGGTTACAAGATCAGCCAAATGGACCTTGCCTGTATACAGCATTAAGACAGAAAAAATAACAGATATTTGAGAAAAATTTTATATTCATTTAGGAGGTTCTAGAGATTATGTAAAGGAAATATGAAACTGTAAAATGAAAAAAAGTACTTTTTATACTTGGACTGACTCAATAAAGGCTTTATTAAATTCACCAACAAATCTTGTTAAAAATACTTAATTAAAAAAATCTGATTTTTTGTATACATCAGTCTTGTAATGCTTATTAAAGGCTTGCCATATTTCATGAAGATACACTTAGTAAATTCAGTTATAGTACATATAGTTTTGTGGTTACCAGCCCATATACAGGTGGTTAGTTACAAAAAACAACATATAGACAAAGAAAAAGGTTTGGTTATCAGAATCATGTCAGTTTATATTTTGTGTGCTGGCCATTGTGAGTCTCGTGCCTCATGAGACTGTTACAATTTCTGTTGGTGGGCATGTTTGGTAGAAAATGGAGGTTTAATCCAGTATGGCGTAATTGAAGAGACCTGGAAGTTTGAGATTGGACCATGGTAAAAGCCTTAAAATTTTTATTGTTGTAAAGTCTTGAATGAATCCTGTTACTGTTTAAATCAGATTAATATTCTGTTACCAGTTATTCTAAGTGTAAGAATATTTGGCTATGAGTTTAATTTCTGGTTCAGTTTGCTTGTGTTTAGAAATTGTCCGTAATGATTTACGTTATCTTAAAAGTCATTGAAAAACTAAGATTTGTGTAAAACTATACAAAAAGAATATCTGAAAAGATGAACAAATAGTAGTTTGGTTCAGCTGACTAAAATGGATTATGAAAAAATGTACCTTCACCCACCAATGTTTTATTGCTTTGCAGGTGGCAAAAGCACTGGTTTGGGTCAGAATTGGTGATTTGAGGAAATTAAATTGATAACAAAAAAAAATTTTCCTTTTTTGATTTTATCACGAAGGGTTTTATTTTAAGTAAAAATAAGGTCATTATTGATGGTATAGAAGTTAATTTAATATTAAGAAAAGAGTGTTTTACTGGAAAGATGAACAATACAAGGTTCATGTTATTGTTGTTATTTTGCATATTAATCTCACACAATTGTTTTAAAAGTAAATATAGATGAAAAAGCTATTCACAAACTGAATGAACTTAAATATACCTTTTAATTAGTTTTGTTAATGTCCAATCAAACAATCTTTGGGTCATGGTCATTCTTGCATGTGTTCGAATGTATTGTTAGTGACTAAAAAAGGTAGTTATAAATTAACATATGGTTGATGTAATAGGTAATATTAATTAGTATGTTAGACTTAATTTTATTTTTTACATATTTGTATACTTGAAGTATAAGGCATGAGTTCATTCAGTCTGTAAATATCAAAAATTCTTTTTCTTATAGGGTTGTTACTAGACACGTTCAATGTCTTATACGATTTGGATTTGATCTCGGATGAGGCCTTTAAAAAGTGGGAGCAGAGCACAGACCCTGCTGAGCAGGAAGGGAAAGGAGTTGCACTAAAGTCAGTGATGACTTTTTTCACATGGCTTAAAGAAGCAGAGGAAGAGTCTGAGGAATCTACCTGACCTCTGTGCTAAAGAATAGGACATGAACTCTCTTTTCATGAAACAAGCTGTTTAATAAAATATTAGGATTTAATATGATATTCTTTATCTCACAAAAACTACAAAATTTTTGTAATTTCCAGAAATTATCTGGAAAAGTAAAAATGCACTGATCAGAAGCAATTTGACAAAAACAAAGTGTTTAAACTCAAAGCTTGTAAAACTACTAAGTGTTAACATATTTTAATAACTATCCTTTTTTTATGCAGCAGAAATTGATATGGGTAATTTGTATACATAAGTTTATAGTAATGAGTTGTAATTAGTTGTTTTTTTTTCCCTAACATTTGATTTTGATTATTGACATGATTTTACTTGGCCATGTGGCTTCGGCTAAAATAAGAATAAATTATATATCACAATCATGTGGTATTTTAGCAGTGATAAAATAACTAAAGAACAAAAATTATTTGATAACGTTAATTCCATGTTGATTATGTAAATTTATAGTCAAGTTCTGAATGGTTTATTTAAGTTTAAACTGTACATAAATTGATAGGTATTTAATGTATAGCAGGGCTAATTCTGTGAAGATTCACTTTCCTACCCTGCTACAATGCTACTTCTACTAAAGAACATAAGGACATATTGTGTGCTTAATCATGAAATTTTAGTAGAATATGTCTTACATACCTACAAGTTATCCTTTCTATTTTTCATACAAGAAGTCTTATATCAAGTATTATGTTGGCAGATATTTCAGTGTGATTAATTAGTTGTAATGAGATGATTACATTTAAAGTAGCAAATGGCTTTCCTTCCAATGGGAATGGGATTTGATTTAATCTTATACTTTACTTTATTAGTTAGATAAAACCTGTGGTTTAAGTAAAGCACCTGACCATGCGCTTGCATATGATAAAAATGTTGAAAGTGTACATATATATATATATATATATATGTAACTGCTATTCTAAAGTATTGTGGCTAATCAGAAAATTAAATATTGGAAGGAGGTTTTGGTTTTACTTCTGTTTTTGTCCACCTCACCAGTTCATACAACACAAGGCATTAGTTTACAATTAAATCAGACCGAAATTTATAAAGTAATAACTATATTAAAATCAACTACTATGTTCATTCTTATGCTGGATCATCAGGAATCACCTTTTGCTGACCTAATGGTTAGAGAACTTGACTCTTATGCTCCGACTCGTAGGTTTGAATCCTGTCACTGAACATGCTCATCCTTTCAGCTGTGGGAGCATTATAAAGTGAGGGTCAATCCCACTTTTCATTGGAAAGAGTTGAAGGTAAGTGGTGTTGACTAGTTGCCTTCCTCTAGTCTATAACTTCAAAATTGAGAAGGCTAGCCCTTGAGTAGCTTTGGATAAAATTTTAAAAAACAAACATTAACATAAAATTTTGCTTCCATCATATAACACTACTCATAGCAAACTAAACATTTTGATATTAGAATTAGTTCAATAATGGATTATTTATTTCACGTAAAATGTTTTAATGCAAATTCAGTATCATACCACCTGAATGAAAAGTTTTTTACCGATTTCCAATTTTTGGAAAACACATGAATGACTTGGTTGGATGTAAATTATTCCTGTAAATTAAAGCAGCTTTTGTAATTACATGACTTTGTAGGAAAAAAAATATCAATGTTCACTAGTATAAACCCGTTAAAACTGCTGTTTTCATATTTATAAGAAGGTTTTTCGATTTAGAAAAGAATAATGGGTTTGTCACAGCAACCTTTTACAACTAAAACAAGTATTCAGTTGTTTTAGTTTAATTCATCACATGACTTAATTTTAACCAATTAAATATTTATGTTTGATTTCACTAAGACCTTAACGTAGTTTCTTGTGAGAAAGGTAAATCTTCACCTATGCTCAGCATTTTTTTTCTGTCTTTCTTTGAGTTGGCCACCAGTGATGTATCTATTATCAAGCCAGCTTTTCCATGTCCCACTAGAAAAATTCCCTTGTTACAGTCCTATGTGTACAATGGTAAAATGTGTTCATGGTTAAACTTCAAGGGTTAATTTTATGGTTTATTGATATTTTCTCCCTTTTTTTTTGACATAATTTGTTCAGCACTGTGTCATCTTTTTTTGTACTTGTATTATACCATTTTTTTGCTAGCTTACTTTTATGTTTATAATGGTAATGGCTTGAATATATTTCAGACATCATAATTGCTGTCTGATTGAAACACACTGTTAATAGTAGTAGTCCAAGTATATCTTCAATAAAGTTAGAAAGCATTGTAAGTTTTGATTTTATTTGCTGTAGTATGGTGTTCTCATGAATGCTGGTAGATCAGATGAAATGGATTTTACTCAGCTGTACCCTGAAGGTCTGAGCCATTAGTTCTTTGGAAAATTGTTCTACGTCATCTTTTTTTTTTACTGAATACACAGAATTGGTGTATTTGATATCATTTATTAGTTGTTCAGAGAAGATTGAAGGAGGGTTTTTTTTGTGATCTGTTTGATAGAACAGTCTCTCAGTTCTGTTGTTGTAGAACAGTGATGTCAAATACATCGTGATGGTGTTGGTTTATAGGATTACTGATCTGATGCAACATAGTATCAGAGATTTATTTCTGGATATTTTTCATCTTTATACATGAAATTCAAATGTCTGGGAACAAACAATTTGTAAAATGTTCCATAACTATATAAACTTCCACTTTATTGCCAAGTGATGTTAGAAACCTAACATAAACATACAAACACACACCTTATGAACGTTTTATGTTCAGACGTGGCATGGAATTTGACTTTAAAATATAGACATATCAGAACTTGAAAGTAACAAAAAAGTTAAACTTTTCAGTTATTGCTGGTATCCAAAATAAATCAAGTGAAAACAAAAAATAAGTGATTGAAAACAGAGCACCACCATTTTTGCCTGAGGTGTAAACAGAGGTGAACTGGAATGTTGAGTTACCTAGTAGTCTATATAGTTGCAATCGAATTCCACTTTTAAACGGGCTTTTAACAATCCTTATGAAAATCTGATATTTGATGCTAAAATGCTTATACGTTTCATTTCTAATATTTAACACAACTTGACTACCCCACACTGTTTTGTAAAAAATAGTGTGGAAATAGGACATGTGTAAGACTATACTGAGTATAAATAAACTCGTATTATAGCCAGCTGACAACTACAGTTCAGTACAATGTCATAAACTCTGCTAAGTCGATCAGGAGAGTTCTGTCATTCAGAGGAATTTTACATGGATTTAACATTGATTTAGTTTACTGATGTAAAACACACAATGTTATGCTCTTCCAATACTAGAGTTGGAGACCACTCAGTTTTCCAGCTATATCAACACTCGTGTTTTCTGTATATATTTGTTACTACTTAGGATCTGCAAGGTAGATGACATTTAATCAAACGCTTTGAGGTATAAAAACGCCCCATTTCACGGTTTTCATTGATACCCAAAGTAGTTAAGATAAAACTTTTTTCACTGTAGCAAAAAAAAATGGGTAAAAAATAACAAAGCAATGGAAGATCTTCGATAAAGAAGTTGAACTATGTATAGCGGTAAAAGTGGATATGCATCTTATTTATGTGTGTAACTGCCATGATTCAAACTGCTTAGAGGAGTGATATTAATAGGAGAGGCGCCGAAACCGGTGGTGCTGTAGCATCCCCTTCCCCCATTTACATATTTGACTTACATAACAACTGTAAATTATATTATCTGCATGGTAGTCAAGCACCCCCACTTTGTAACTCATTTCACACCGCTGACATGGTGACCAAACGTCCCGTTTTTCGATAGTTTGTCCCAGTGTCCTGGTTTTACGATAAAAGACATCCAACTGTCAGTCACATCGAATCACAAATATAGTAGGCTTACTTAACTTGCTCACTGTTGTAACACATATCCTCCTGTTGTCAAATTCTTTCCAAAGTTTCGTCTGTACCTGTATGAAACCCAGCTCTGCGCACGTCTGAATGTGGAAAAAGCTAAGGCAATGCTCATCACCAAAACGTACTATATTGAATTTTATGACTACTTAATGAAAACCAAAAAAATCTGAATTTCTACGTTTCATTAATTCTTCACAAAAATATGTTTTAAAAAGTTTCAAGGTAATGCTAAAACCTAAAAGTAGTATGTTTGAAGATGTTATGGATTCTTAAATAAGTCCAGGTATGAAGTAGCTTATTTTAAGATGAATAAAGTCAATAATTAATGATTTCATCGATGTATAATTTGAATATTTTTGCTTATTTAATTTATGTCTATCACCAAAGAAAGTAATTGAAATTATTTCATATATATAATAACCATTTACAAATTGGGGGCAATGGCTGAACTGTCCAGGTTTTTCGGTTTAGAAATTTCGTCACCCCTGATATTGATGACAAACTAACATTTCCCTGTGCCATTGTATTTTGCTCCAGTAAAGCAGTTGTTCTATTGGGTGCTAGTAATATATTAAATAAATAAGTTATAGTGGCGCTGTATATTAGCCGTTAAAACCTTTAATACAACGTAGTACTACCTCAGTATGGTTGCAGACATTACTAATTTCCGGGGGAGGGGAGAACAACATAAGAAATATGCTCGCCTTCATCCTCAAAACTTTTTTTTTTATTAGTTAAGTTTTGACCATAGGCTAACCTTCTGATTCAAATGAATGAATTTGGAACCACGGTTAAATGGAAACCAATGCAGGTAAAAAATAATAGCATCAATGTAAGGATTTTATGAACACGTTTTTTAAAAAGCTTATTACTTCCCATTTTCAAGTTTCAGAAGAACACTCAGTCAGGGTTAGCTGTTGTTAACTGTCGGAAAAACAAAATGGCTAATTTGAGTTCGAAAGTAGCTCAAGCTCTTTGCCACAGTACATTGTTTATACTGTTTGTTTTTACATATCTTTGGGGCCAGGTGTGGATTCACAGTTCGAGCACGCCAAGGCCACTCTAGACATAAAGGTATTTGTAGTCGAAGGTACGCTATAAAAGTGACGGTCAAAACTTACTATTCGGTTATCCGAGAGTTGGCGGTGAGTACAGTTGATCATTTGTCTTACCTCAAGCCTCTCAGTTTAAAATTAGGTGTGGCTTTTCGCGAAATTTTGAAACAAACAAGTACAACTTGTATTTGCGGATTGATGCCAACTTTAATTGTTGGCTGTTGCTACGTGACCAAGTATGAAAACCCAAATGACTATAACTATATATACATACAAAAAACACACACACACACACAGTTATAAATCTGTTCCAACAATATTTAATGACGATTAGCTAAGGGTTTTAATATTGAATATTTAGAAGAATTGGTATTATTTCATACATGACATGATGGGTTTACAAGAACAATTTTCTTTACAATACATATACGATAACAAGATTCAAAAAATATTTTAAAGGGAAAATGAAGAGAATCCGTTTAAACAGGTAAGAAAAATGAAAATTGTTACCATTACGGTATAAGAAAAACAAACAAACTTAATTACTTTTAAACGATAAATTCGAAATTCTAACTTGCCTGTTAAGAGACTGATTTTATTACATTTAGTTTCTCTGAATGGTGTAGCTAATCCATGTCCTTACATGGAAATATATGACAGTAAATTTTCCCAGGTTGTGCAAACATTAATCCAACACAGATGTATAGAATATAAAGAGTATCAATTCAAAGCTTCAGTTGCCACATATAAATATTCAGAATGTGCGTGAATAGGCTTCAATCTGAAATTATTTTACACTAAAATAAAATCCCAAGTGAGGTTGGGAATAGTATAAATGTTTTACGAATTAAAATTTTAGTTCTTTGATTTAATCACAAATAAACACATTCGTTAAGTACTGTTATGTTTTCATCAAACAAAAAGAAGTATGCACATATAATGAAAATATATTATAAAATTATGTAATATAATAATCAATACATTATCTTTTTGTGTGATTATTTAAACTTCATCGTGTCGTGATCTGCAATATTTATGACCTGCTGTTTAAGTGAACAAAACAGGTGTTTTTACATCAGACAACATTTAGTACAAGCACAATCTATTATTCGCGCTTTTGGAAACCATTAAATGCAGCCATGTCAATTTTGTGGAAGGGTCGTTTCTTAAGACCTCCAAAAGCAGCTCTATCAATTTCGTCGAAGGTTCTCTTCTTGTACAGCCCTTCATTCTTTGCCTTGTTAATCAAGTATCGTCTGGGCCACTGTTGCCCTATAGTGAAAAAAGAATCCGCATTTCCTACTGTTGGAAGGTCGTCATACTCTTCAAACACCCGATTCAGTCTTCCAAAATGTCTCGGAATGGGCTCAATATTATTCTAAAATCAATAAAAACAACATTCTGTAATTGATTACAATAATGTTCCGATATTTGGTGTAAAATAGGGCTGTCCAACTGCAAAGAAGATGGTCGATTGCTAGTTAGCAATCACCACCGTGCGTTTATAGCTACGTAATAAATAACTAGGAGTAACATACGAATAATACTTTGCCTTTTAAGATAGTGATAGTTGACAAGCCGTACTAACCCGAGTTCTATGATGCTAGTGAAAGAACATCAAGTAAATCAAATGTATTGGAACACACCATAGGTGAATGTGACGTAGTCATCCATTCAAATTATCATAAAATCTAAGCCAAGACCAATGATGAACAAAGTCTCTGTATGAAAGATCTGAACTTAATCAGGCTAGTTCATCTTGTAAAATCAAAGAAAATGGCTGTCTCTTGTTATTATTATTTGAATACTTTGCCTCTTCATAATGTGTAATAAGCGATTTGTACTTTATTTTATAATATTAAGTTTTAGCTAAGGGAACCTTCCTATAATTGAGGACAGCATGAAACCTTGTCAGGAGCAAGTTGAAAAGACATGATGTAAGGGTTTATTTTGAGACAAAAATTGTCACGAGTTTTAATACTGCCTCCTTTTTTAAAGAGATTAATAAAATAGCTTGGCATGGGGTTATAAGTGAAATGCAAAAATATGTTAGTTTACATAAAATTAAAAAACTGTAAATTGGGAAAGGGATTTAAACTTCGGTCGTTCAACAATATGCTTTTTTCAATAAGGTTAGTTAAATACAGTATCTGAACGCACAAAATTTCTTGTTTTCAATCCATGCTTTCTGAAAGAAATGAAATTATTTTGATGTGCTTGTATTTCTTCTCTTTCTTTTTAATTGCGAAATGAACTAAAAAGTTAAAATTACATTTAGCACATTGTCTTTTTGAGTTCGAGAAAATAAACAATGTTTGCATATTCAGCTCCAGATCTCGTTAACTTTAATGTTACATTTCCTTTATTCTTACACAGCTTCATTACGTTATGTCACTCTAGCTTACATATTGTTTCAAACTTAAAAACGAGACTTTTTAACAAAATTAATACAACCCATAAGATAGTGAACATGAAATAATTTGTATTTTTAATTTTACTTAACTTCTGTACAATCTATGTTATCAGTTAATCTATATAGTTTTGATTGATTATTGATATATACGATTTTCCTTATAGCAAAAAGAGCCTGACTACGAAATTATGTCTTAAAATGTATTAACTCTGTCATTGTATTTTAATCAGAAATATTTGGGTTTGTTTGTTGTTAAGCGCAAAGCTACACAATGTGTTGTCTGTGCTTTGCCCACCGCGAGTATAGAAACTAGGATTTTAGTGTTATAAGTCCCCTTGTCTAACCGCTCAGCCACCAGGGAGCAGAAATATTTGGGGACGTTGATATGATTTAAAGCCATAGAAATTTGAAAACGTTCTATATATCTAATAAAGCAACTATATATGTTTGAGAGTTTAGGATTGCTAGCCCTCATTTATAATTCAATCAACAGTATTACGTTGTTATCCACTGTTAGTCTTGATGTTTCGTTAATTACCTTTTCTTGTAATACAGGAGAAGATAGGACAACAATGGCAAGGCTTACCGGACATATTAGAAACTTTCACAATAAGTGATTGTTTACTTTAACTTGATGATAATAGTAGTAGCAACTACAGCCAGAAAGAAAAACTACACAGATAGATAAACCAGATTTACAATCATAAGAGTCGTTTCTTTAGTTGAGTGCTAATTAAAAGTCTGATATATATATGATAAGAAAATAACATTTTACTTATCTTCTACGTGGTTTACCTGAATTAAGCCCTGTCCATTCACATTCGGGATAACTACTACGAGAAATATAAATGATAACACTACCACCTTACTCATCATGTAGGTAGTTTATAAGTATGGTTTTCAGGTCTCAGCAAATCTGTCTTTTCTTCACTCGTATATATACATAACGTTTGTATGTGTCAGCGAGTGTGCGTATCAGGGACGTGCACCTTCACAATGAACTATGAGAATACAAAATAACCAGCCAATGGCAGATCGTCAGTTTAATGGTTTGTAGCCAATCGCTACTGAACTTGCATTAAATGCTAAGGCCAAATTGTTACTCCTAGGAGTTTTTCACACTTCCTATGGCACAGATAGCCTAGTTGTTTTGCGCCATAATAACGCCAAACAATCAACCAACAAGTTTTCAAACCAAATTAAATGTTTATCCTACTAATTTTGGTGATCCCAGTATACACAATTCTTTAGATTGTAAAAGTAGTGAGTAAAAACGTAAACTTATAATAAGAAGAGATGGTGCAATGTTTTCGAATTTGTTCGATGCAAATAACACAGACCTGCGAATATAAACTTCATAAAGGTTGTTTTGGTTTTAATAACGAACTTTCCATAATTCAGCTACACAGATTTCGAAAATAATATTAATTTTTTTCTATCACGTAAGGATTTTTTTTTACAAATCGGGATAAAGAAAAAACTCTTACTTAGATCAAATT